ATCCGTGTGCTTCCAATGTGACACTTAAATCTAGCAAAGAGCTAGTAAAGGTGGAAACATTCTATCAAGGTCCCTGCAGGGTAAGGGTAAAAGGCAAGGTAGATAGACCCCCACCTACTCAGCCTAGGAATCATAAACCCAGATCTATTTTGCTTTTCCAGACATACTTGCTTCCTTTTTGCTGTTGAAGGATGCTTTGTTGATATAACCAGATACCTTGGCAGTCCTTGGGAACTCAGGGTAAGTGCTCACTCTGATTCTGTGCTTGAAAGATTAATTCAATTTTGAGAAAGTCCATTCTTTATGCTTCCCTTTCTATAACAGGGTCTAAGGGATATATAATCGGGTCTAACATATCTCCCTTCTCAGCTTTTCTTCCTAGGTTCTCTAAGATCAAATTATTTTTTTTTAAGATTTTATTTATTTATTTGACAGAGAGAGAGAGAGAGCACAAGCAGGGGGAGCAGCAGAGGGAGAGGGAGAAGCAGGTTCCCCACTGAGCAGAGAGCCTGACACGGGACTCGATCCCAGGACCCTGGGATCAGGACTTGAGCCAAAGGCAAATGCTTAACCGACTGAGCTACCCAGGTGCCCCTCTAAGGTCAAATTAAGTAATAGGTACATTTTTGAGATTTTCAGAAGAAAGGGACTCAATTTAATGTACTATTATTACACTGTTAAATGAACCAATCATTTAAGTAAAATTTTAAAATTTGATTTACCTAATTCCTTATGGCTAATAAGGACTAATAATTCCAAAGCAGAGACGGTTATCTCAGGCATTGTATTCTAAATAATAATTTAGAATTCTGTGTTCCAAATGAAAATTTCTAGGGCTGTCCTATCTGCCAAATTATCTTGCCAATGATTCTTATGGGCTTCCTATCCCACAAAAGATTGAGAAAACAAGAAAGCAAGAATTAAAAGATTTTTGTATTTGTATCTTTTCACCAGGGATCTAGGCTGTGTAGAATTTATGAAGACTAATAATAAGAATATGATAGAAAAAGAATTAGAGTGAGCACAGTTTTCACTTGAATTTGTCCATCTTTGGTCCTAAGTAAGTACAACTGTGAGCTGACTCATTCCAGGACCCATTCCTGACCTTCCATAATACCTTGTTTTAACCTCTAGTATAGTGCTCATTATACTGTAGAACGTTACTTTAAAAGCAGTAATGCAGATGTTACTCATTTCTGGAAACTTTCCCCCCTTTTCTCCCACTCCTTCTACTCCCATCCCCACCTATTATCATACCCAATACAGTAGGAAAGCTCAATAAATGTTTGATGAATAAATGGATAGTGAGTAAATGAATGAGTGATGACATATGTGGAAAAGGATTATAGAAAATAATGAATTATTCAAACTGTTCTTTAATCAGTTATTGGGTGCTGCTGTTTTATATATAATCCTTCCAGGCTGAATGCCAACAAGTATCTCTAGAAGGGAAGTAAAGAAAAATCCATTTCTGTGTGTACTTCACTGACAAGCTTTAGAAAAGAATGGCATTCTCAGTATAATCACTAGTTAAGGAAATTATTTAAATTTCATATTTGAATATCATAAACTTCTATTTCTTTTTTTTAATTTAATTTTATTATGTTATGTTAGTTACATACATCATTAGTTTTTGATGTAGTGATCCACGATTCATTGTTTTTGTATAACACCCAGTGCTCCATGTAGTACGTGCCCTCCTTAATACCCATCACTGGGCTAACCAATCGCCCCACCCCCCTCTCCTCTAAAACCCTCAGTTTGTTTCTCAGAGTCCATAGTCTCTCATGATTCATCCCTCCCTCCGATTCCCCCCCCTTCATTTTGCCCTTCCTTCTCCTAATGTCCTCCATGCTATTCCTTATGTTCCACAAATAAGTGAAACCATATGATAATTGACTTTCTTTGCATAGTACTAGAAGTCCTAGTAACAGCAATCAGACAACAAAAAGAAATAAAAGATATTCAAATTGGCAAAGAAGAAGTCAAACTCTCTCTTTTCGCAGATGACATGATACTTTATGTGGAAAACCCAAAAGACTCCACCCCCAAATTACATTACAACGCATACAGCAATTCAGTAATGTGGCAGGATACAAAATCAATGCACAGAAATCAGTTGCTTTCTTATACACTAACAATACAACTGTAGAAAGAGAAATTAAAGAAACGATTCCATTTACAATAGCACCAAAAGCATAAGATATCTCAGAATAAACCTAACCAAAGAGGTAAAGGATCTATACTCCAGGAACTACAGAACACACATGAACGAAACTGAAGAAGACACAAAAAGATGGAAAGACATTCCATGCTCATGGATCGGAAGAATAAACATTATTAAAATGTCTATGCTACCCAGAGCAATCTATACCTTCAATGTCATCCCGATCAAAATTCCAATGACATTTTTCAAAGTGCTGGAACACTTTGGAACACTTTAGGAACAATCCTAAAATTTGCACAGAATCAGAAAAAACCCCGAATCGCCAAGGAAATGTTGAAAAGGAAAAACAAAGCTGGGGGCATTACGTTGCCCGATTTCAAGCTATATTACAAAGCTGTGATCACCAAGACAGCATGGTACTGGCACAAAAACAGACATATAGACCAATGGAACAGAATAGAGAGCCCAGATATGGACCCTCAACTCTATGGTCAAATAATCTTCGACAAAGCAGGAAAAAAATATGCAATGGAAAAAAGACAGTCTCTTCAATAAATGGTGCTGGGAAAATTGGACAGCCACATGCAAAAGAATGAAACTCGACCATTCTCTAACACCATACACAAAGATAAACTCAAAATGGATGAAAGACCTCAATGTGAGACAGGAATCCATCAAAATCCTAGAGGAGAACATAGGCAATAACCTCTTTGACATCGGCCCCAGCAACTTCTTTCAAGATACATCTCCAAAAGCTAGTGAAACAAAAGCAAAAATGAACTTTTGGGACTTCATCAAGATAAAAACCTTCTGCACATCAAAGGAAGCAGTCAACAAAACAAAGAGGCAACCAACAGAATGGGAGAAGATATTTGCAAATGACTCTACAGATAAAGGGCTGGTATCCAAGATCTATAAAGAACTTCTCAAACTCAACACCCAAAAAACAAATAATCAAGCCAAAAAATGGGCAGAAGACATGAAAAGACACTTCTCTGAAGAAGCCATACAAATGGCTAACAGACACATGAAAAAATGTTCATCATCCTTAGCCATCAGGGAAATTCAAATCAAAACCACGTTGGGATACCACCTTACACCAGGTAGAATGGCAAAAATCGACAGGGCAAGAAACAACAAATGTTGGAGAGGTTGTGGAGAAAGGGGAACCCTCTTACACTGTTGGTGGGAATGCAAGTTGGTACAGCCACTTTGGAAAACAGTGTGGAGGTGCCTCAAAAAATTAAAAATAGAGCTACCCTATGACCCAGCAATTGCACTCCTGGGTATTTACCCCAAAGACACAGATGTAGTGAAAAGAAGGGCCATATGCACCCCAATGTTCATAGCAGCAATGTTCGCAATAGCCAAACTGTGGAAAGAGCCAAGATGCTCTTCAACAGATGAATGGATAAAGAAGATGTGGTCCATATATACAATGGAATATTACTCAGCCATCAGAAAGGATGAATACCCAACTTCTACATCAACATGGATGGGACTGGAGGAATTATGCTAAATAAAACTTCTATTTCTTATATAGAACCCAAATTCAGTAAACTTTGCCATACACTATTCATAAATGGCATTATAAATAAAAGCTCATTCTATAACTTTTTAAATCCTTTCTGCAAAAGTCATCAGCTAAATATTTTTACTTGCATGGGAATGCAGGAAATGATTATAAAGGGATTAGTAGGAAGTCATAAAATATTTGTTGAGTACCATTCGCATACACTGAGTTTATTTTCCCTGAGAATATTATTATTAGTGACTTTCAAATTGCTCATAAAACTGTATCTTTCCACTTAAAAGTCCATTAGAATACCTAATGGCTAATCCACAACTCAAGCAAATTTACCATCTGTCATGATAAATGTGCTCTTACTTGAATGTAGGGGTTCCAAGGAAATCTTTGTGGCATCGCATACCTGTATGGTAAATCATCTTCAGCTTCCAGGACCCTTCCTTTCTTACCTGTCAGTGCTAACTACAATCTAAGGCAATTAAAGAGCCATTTGTTTCACTCAGTTTAAAATCAGTTTAAAACAAGTATTTCTAAAGCCATTGGAGAACCTGGTTCTTTTCATCACAAAACATTGTAGATCTTTCCCAAATCATCTCTGGTCCAGAGGCCCTGGTGAGATGCATTCCCTTTATCCATCCTCCACCCTGATGCAGGAATCTTGTATCCCAGTAAAATAAAAATACAGTTAGAAGCGCCCGGGTGGCTCAGTTGGTTAAGCATAGGACTCTTGATTTCGGCTCAGATCATGATCTCAGGATTGTGAGATCGAGCCCTACCTCAGGCTTCGTGCTGGGTATGGAGCCTGCTTAAGATTCTCTCTCTCCTTCTCCCTCGAGCCCCTCCCTCATTCAAAACTTCCAATTAATGTCCAAACAGAAATACATATTTAGCAGTGGATCTGAATCAGATGATACACTGACTCTGGTTGGCTTTCATCAAGTAATGAGCAAAGATCTGTTCCAGTTGCCATATTCAGTGCCTGAATTATTTGGCTTTAATCATTTGTTAGATCCTTAAATAGTGTGATAGGGAACTCCTATGCCAATCTCCTATTGCAGTCCACACCCAGACTTCCATATCTATCCATCTCTCTCCCTCCCTCTCCCCTACCCCTCTCTCTCCACGTACAACTATCACTTTGAGTATAGTTCTGGTTTCTTTGTTTGTTTGTTTTTTCTGGTGACTATCTGATAAACCAGTTGAAAATGATGTGTCTGTTAGGATGGCCACCATCCACTCAGATTCTCTTTTCTCCTATCCCGTTTTCCTACCATTCCATCTGCCCTTGATCCTTAAGGGACTTACCACTACAAAGGCATCAGAATCCTGGAATAGAAAGAGAGAAGTTATCAACTACAACATTTCCCAGTATATTCCCACTCATAGCAACATTAAATATGATAAAATTACTTTCTAGCAACAGACCCTGGAAGCTGGCTACTCTCCCCAAGGCTTATGCCAACAAATTGAAATAAAACAAGAGTTGAATGTAAATTACAAAGATATGTAATTTCTGCTGAAGAAACACCTCCTTTTTTTCTACACAAACCCAACTCTCCCCAAATTCCACTATCTCCTTAAGATTATGCTAATACTCAAGTTGTAGGGGGAAAAAAAAGAACTATGGTAGAAGAAAAGAAGGCAGAGGGGAAGATAGGAGAGAAAATTAAGAAAATTTCTTAAGATTAATAAAATTAACTGTGGTGTAGCTATTATGGAAAATAGAATGGAGATTACTCAAAATTTAAAGGGGTGCCTGGGTGGCTCAGTCAGTTAAGCATCTGCCTTTGGCTCAGGTCATGATCCCAGGTTCCTGGGATCATGCCCTACATTGGGCTCCCTGTTCAGCAGAGAGCCTGCTTCTCCCTCTCCCTCTACTGCTCCCCCTGCTTGTGCTCTCTCTCTCTCTGTCAAATAAATAAATAAAATCTTAAAAAAATTAAAAATAGAATTATCATATGATCTAGCAATTCTACTTTTGGGTATTTATCTGACGAACATGAAAACACTAACTTGAAAAGATAAATGCAACCCTATGTTCATTGCAGCATGATTTGCAATAGCCAAGGAAACAACCCAAGTGTCTACTGATGGATGAATGAATGGATGAAAAAAATGTGGTGTACATATACACACACATATATATGCACTGGAATATTATTCAGCCATAAAAAAGAATGAAATCTTGCCATTTGTAACAACATAGATGGACCTCGAGGCATTTTGCTAGATGAAATAAATCAGACAGGAAAGACGTATACCACCTGATCTCACTTATATGTGGAATCTAAAAACAACAACAACAACAACAAAACCACATACACACACAAGAAAAAAACCTAAAACAAAAAACCTAAGCTCATAGATACAGAGAAGAGATTGGTAGTTGCTAGAGGCTGGGGGTTCTTGAAGGGTATCAAAAGATACAAGCTTCCAGTTATAAAATAAGTCATCGGGATGTAATGTACAACATGGTGACTATAGTTAATACTGTATTGCATATTTGGAAGTTGTTAAGAAAGAAAGTAAATTATAAAAGTTTTCATCATAGAAAAAAAATGTAACTATGTAAGGTGACAGATACTAACTAGAGTTATTGTAGTGATCATTTCATGATTATACAGATACCGAATCATAGGGGGAAGATTTTTGAGAAAGTTTAAACAAATATACTTATTTACAGTGTCTTTTACCAGTCTAAAACACTTTGTGATTTTTAAGAATATAAAAATGTAACCTACATAGCTTAATTTGATCACTAAAATAATCATCTTTGACACATTAAAAAGTGCAATTGACTCAGATGATTGCAGTTTTTAAAAATTTAATGAGCTACCAACTCTGGAACTTACTGTTAACTTATGAGAAGCAAGATGAAACTTAAGAATATAAAAAGCTATAAATTTCATCATATAGCAAATGAGGTTAACTGGGTTAATTTTTACCTACCTACTGGATAGAAAAATCTTTTTTTAAAAGATGCTAAGAAGGGGCGCCTGGGTGGCTCAGTCGGTTAAGCGTCTGCCTTCAGCTCAGGTCATGATCCCAGAGTCCTGGGATCGAGTCCTGCATCGGGCTTTCTGCTCAGCGGGGAGCCTACTTCTCCCTCTCCCTCTGCCTGCCGCTCTGCCTACTTGTGCTTTCTACCTCTCTGTCAAATAAATAAAATCTTTCAAAAAAAATAAAAGATGCCAAGGAGCAGACATAAAAAGGAAACACTCATTGGACATTCTTGCCTTGTAGATGTTTGTCTAATAAGCAAACTTGAGATGAGGAGTCTGGCTTCTACGGACAAGGTATATATGCTTAGGATGATCATTTCTCTCTAGGCCTCATGTTTCATCTTTAAAGTCAGGGGGTTGGATCAGAGTGCCATCTGGTTCTAATTTAACCTGATAATTCAAAAGCCACTGTGGTGCAGGCTATGGCTCCCCACCCAGATTGCCTCCCCACAAATTCCTTCAGGTATGCAGGGCTGATTCCCCCTAGCACTGGTGGTTGGTGGCTCTCAGCTGCATCCCCCTCTAGGAATTGCCCTTTAGAGAGACCCACCCAGATCGAGGTTACACCCCCGCTTCCTGGGAGCAACTTCCATCCAGTGACTGGTCCCTCAGGAGACAAAGTCCGGGCTGTCTTGCCTCGTTCAGGACACCAGGCAAGGTCCTCCAGCCTGGGAGCTCCTGTGGTGTCAGCCAAGGTCTCCGGCATCTGGATCACAGTTCAACTTCTCCCTCTGCCCAGTCCTGCCTCCTTCATTCCCTACTAGGTGTTGAACCTGAGCGCATGTCCCAGTAAACTTCCTGCAAAGCAAATCTCCACATTTGGGTCTGTTCTTTCGGGAACCTGACATGGAACAGGGACTCAATCTCTCTTACTTCTGTGAAAATAATAGTGCCTCCTAAAGGCAGAAATGTTTTATTTTGAAATTTGGACTGTATTTCCTGTTCTCGTCATCAGAAATTATAGAGCTGATAACTACTATCCAATAATTATTTTCACAAAACATACTAACGAATTATAAAATTATTTCAGAAGAATAGGATAGGAATGTAGAAACACTACTTAAGAAACTTAAGATTTTCATTCATTACTTTAACAGTAAAAAGTCTATTTTTTAAAGAAACAAAATGAGTAAATTTTTTTTTTCTAACCTTTGCTTCTCTGGGGAAAATAAAGCCTAGTACTAATAACTAAAAAAAAAAAAAAAAAAAATAGGTCTATAAAGAAGGGGGGGGAATACAGAGAGAAAAAAATAACAGTTGTTTTAATAATAAAAAAGGTAAAAAATATTCTTAAGGAGCAGAGAATTAAGTTTAAAAATGAAATAAAAATGAAAACATACATTTTAAAAAAATCCTCAGAGTTAAGAGAGAAAGAAAAGACATACTTGAAATACCATCACTCAAAACTCAGAGGTCTCATAAACTACCGAAAGTTTTTATATTCTTTTCTGAATTTGGATGGGATTCCTTTCTTTTAAAGTTTTTTTTTTTTTTAAGAACTGGGTAACTTCTTTTTTTCTTCTTTCCCCAGTTTCTTTTCTTTCTTTCTTTTTTTTTTTTTTTTGTTCTCTTTATATTGTTTTTTCCTCTAATGTATAAAGACTTCATCATGCCCAGTACATTTTAGACAAGCCAATACACTTCTCTGTTACTGGGGGTAATTCTCCTGTTCACTTTATAGTTTACTTTTGTCTCATTCTTGCATATGTCAATTTCGTCTGCATTATTCCAGCAGAGAAATCATAAATCTTGACCTTGGAAATGCAATTGATAGACACATTTCTCTTACATAAATTCAACTACCTCCCCTGCAATTCAAAAATGAACTGTCTACCAAATAAATTAGATATTTCAGAGCTACTTGGCGCCTGGCAACAAGAGAAACCCTAGGCCTTGGTAAAGTAGCAACAGCTGATTTAACCAGCATGGAATGATTCTGCATCTGATCCCTGCCAGGATAACAGAGGGTCTTATTTACTGTCTCTTCCCTTGGTTCTTCTAAGTAGGTACTGTTTTCTGTTTACTTATCCCCTAGCTTTAGGCCCTGGAACAATGTTGAACATAGTGTCATTGGCTCTGGTGCCAGACAGGATCAGGGGCTCTGGAATATTTACAGTTTCCCTTCTTCTGCTTCCATAAATGAAATGGGCAGTTGGAATGGAGGAAATTAAGGGCCAGCTGGCTAAAAACACAACTGGCTACAAAGCACTTGGGCTCCTTCCAAGAGCTGGTGTTTAAACAGAGGCCATTTAAAGAGCAAATTCCAACTACTATAATAACGGTTCAGGACACTAGCTGTAAGATAAAACAAAATTTTACTCAGCAATATTTTTGTTTCCAAAGTTTGGAAACTATTATATGCCCTCTTCTTCTTAAGAAATTTTTCTAGTCTTAGTCAATCCCTTAAAATAGCCAATCCATTATATACTAACAAATGACAAGTATATATTATATACTTAGTATATATATATAGTATATATATATACACACTTTATATATATATATATATATATATATATATATATATATATATATATATACACACACACACACACACACATGCATACACATATATATGAAGTCTGTGCCAGGATGGCCAAAGTGTTATTTTTGCCTAAGCTCATTCATACAAAATAAATAAAACTGTTAAGAAATTGAGAAGGAAAAGGAGAGAAATAAGAAATGACATAGAATTTAGCTGGGATGGCATGGCAGACAGCCAAAGGACACTTAAACTAATTTGGGAGGTTATTAATACATCATGAAGCCAACTGACAAAGGCAGATTTCCTTTGTCAAATAAAATAGTATTTCCATTTTGATATTTAAGAAAAATTCAACAATCCTCATGGGGAAAAATCATGTTGGAGTACTACTCAATAAATAATACATGGTTTTTTGTTGTTGTTGCTGAATTCTGGTAATGACAACCACAGACTGGCTATTTATTAACCCTAGAATCTCTGATAGGTGCCACATCAGAAATATATGTAAATGCCATATTCAGTGAGATAAATTTAAAATGTAAACAATTCTATACATGATGAGATCATAATTATTTCACAATCCAGGAGCAGATGAGTTTGAAGGTGAGCGAACAAAGCTGCCTCTCTCTCTTTCTCAATGATTGACATGAGAAATGGAGAAGGGACCCAGAAAAAAAGTAAAGGGGTTCAGCAGCTAGGTACGTGCATGGTGCAGCTGTTCTGATGCTAAAATCCCAGAAATGGGTAGAGCCAGTAGTTTGAGACCCCCTGGAAGCCATTACCTCTATATAGGGCACAATCTTGCAAGAGAAGTCCTCCAGCAGCCACTTCTTCGTCAGCTCGTGAAAGATGACGAGCGGAAGGCAGAAGAAGATGATGAGAAAGTCCCAGAAGGCCAGGTTGGCCAAGAGGGAATTGGAGATGCTCCGCATGTAGTAGTTGTGACACACGATGCACATCACCGCCAGGTTGCCAATGATGCCAGTCCCGAAGATCACCACAGACAAACACATGACTGCATAGGCTCCGTATGACTCCTGGGTCAGCGGGTAGAAGGGGTTCTTTAGTCGCAAGCGCCGGTTTGTGCTGTTCGCCCGGCGGGAACCCCCGCGTTCGTGGACCCCTTCACCTGAGGACCCATTCTGGGCCAGCGCCCTGCCAGGGGGTGCGATCGTCCGCCCTTCGTGCCCCGACGGTCCACTGACCATCTTGGGTGAGGTGTCGTGGTGGGAACCCTGGAGTTTCCCGCCTCTCCTTGGCCAGTAATAAAGGTCGCTGGCTCCGGGTTCTGTCCTCACACTCTGCTCCAGACCGTGCTCAGAAATGCCAGCGCCTCTGGGACCCTTCTCTTTCCCCTCTGAGGTCTGCAGGAAGAGTTGGAGAGCCGGGAGGTTCCCTCTCCCTAAAGTTCCAGGGGGCTCCTGACCCCGGGCACCTTTCCACCTCCAGGCTCCAGATGGCCTGGCTGGAGGTCCCGAGGGTTCTGCGGCCGACGCCTCCGCCCCTCTTCCCGCACCTGGGTCACCGCCCCGGGTGGCCCTTAGGTCCCACAAGGGCGCCGCGCGCACCGCTGCCCCCTGCTCCTCCTCCCTGGGCGCACGGGTTCTCAGAAGGTCTCCTGCAGAATTTCCCAGTCCCCACGCGTCCCTACTGCGACGCTGGCTCAGTGCAGGTGAACAGTTTTCCCCGAGGCAAGTTTCGTTCCTGGGCGAAAGAGCGGACCCGAGGGCAGGAGAGGCAGAAACCTTGAGCAGTAGCAGAAGCAGCAACCGCAAGGTGCGGGGAAGAGGCGCGCCCGGGGCCCGCATGGCTCGGTGAGGGCGTACCCAGCAGCCGCGGCTCCTGGTTAGGACCGACACCTGCTGCCTAAGTTGCTGCTGAGAGTTAGGCACATGTCACAACTCACCCCCGCCCCGGCAGTGGGGGACGGGAGATTACGGGGAGGTTGGGGGATGGGTCTTGGGTCACAAACCCTCCCCCTCTACAATCCTTCCTCTTCTGGCTTCCCGTGCATTTCTCAGCCAAATCCGACCCGGGCGCTGCGTATCCCCAAGGTTCAGAGAGGAAATCGCTGCTCCCGGTGGCTGACCTTGAAAAGTTGCAACCAACACCTGACTGTTGATTAATGTTGCGACTGGGAAAAGCCCGGACCAAGCCCCACGTTCCTCCCTGCCTTTGGGCGGTTGCCTTCTTGGTAACAGTCGCTCTGCCTATTTACATCCTTCCCATAGCGCCTTATCCAATTCGTAACAGTTGCTCTGCCTTTTTACACCCTTTCAATACCGCTTTATCCAGTTGTAAGCCGAGGTCGCTAAAGGGAGAGAAAAACAAGTTGCCCTTCTTCACATGACTGGCAGCCACAACCCCGCTCCCGGCTCGCTGGAAACAGGTAGCAAACAGCCAGACGCCGCGCAGATGCACCGGGAAACTCTTGCCCCACCTAACCCCAGCGACTTGTGAGGCTACTGCTGCCGAGGAGAAGCGGGATTCCAAACCCGCGGCCACTGTCAAAGTTGCTTCTCCTCCAGCTCAAAGTTGACCAGGGGGCGGCGCGGGCTGCTGGCCGGCGTGTCCTCGCGGACAAGGGAATCGGTGGTGGGGGTGGGGAGGGCGAGCGCTGCTCCTCGGTGGACGGTGCCGGCGGCCGAAGGAGCTTGTTGCTGCGACAGCAGGCGCAACCCGGGCGGAGAGTGTGGTGCCTGGAACCGCCGCGGGCGAGGCGGTGCATGGCCGGAAAGGGGGAGGTGGCCCGGCCTCTCCCCGCCGCTCCAGTCGCTGCGCGCGCGGGGGAAACCCAGCGCTCGGCTCCTTGCCTCCTCCCCCTCTTCTGCCTCCTCCGAGAGAGGCTGGTTTGTGGGGAGACTGGATTCCCTGGTGGGTTACGACTCACTAAACCCACACACGTTTCATTCAAGCCCTTTGTAGCGGCTTTCGCTCGTAGGAGCTGGAAGCCGAGAGGGAACAAGGGCGGAGGCGCGGAGCTAGAGATGGGCGGGACGCGTTAATTCCCCAGATGTCGGAACCAGCTTGACAGGTCCCAGAGACCCGTGCTTCGCTTCCACTCCGCCGCGGCGGGTGCGCATGCCCAGGCCTTGGCCCCGAGGGAGTAGTAAGGTGAACCGCTCGCCTCCTTTGGTATTCCCAAGAGCTGAGACTCGAGAGAAAGGAAGCTCAGAGGTTTCAGTCGTAGAGAACGAGCAGTTCGACAGTGGGACGAGGAGTGAAAATGTTTAGGATGAACCATTACCTTTAACACTGAGTTAGGAAGCATGCTGACAGGGGTTACTTAGAACGCTCAGAGTACAAAGAAAGTAGTTTTGTTGGATGAACTACTGGGAAATGACAGGTGGGAGGAAATTAACTTGAACAGAACTGCCAGTATGGCTGACCATGCCTTTCCAACCTTTACAATAAACCCTCCACTCCTGCTACAGTTGTTCAGGGTATAGTTAATAAGGCAAATATAATATAAAATAGACAAATTGATTAAAAGAGAAAGTGATAGAGGAAGATATAAATGCATTTTGAAATTTAAAAAGGCAAAATATAGAAAAACAGGAGAAAATACAATGAAAAATATGATGCCAATTGTGGCAGGTATAGAATAATGGCCCTCCAAAAGATGTCCACATCCTAATTCCTAATACCTGTGAAAATTTTACCTTATTTGGCAAAAGGGACTTTGCAGATGTGATTCAGTTAAAGATCTTGAGATGGGAAGAGTATCATGAATTATCATTCAGGTGGGTCCACTGAAATCACAAGGGTCCTTACAGAGGGAGGTAGGAGGGTCAGAGTATCGTGGGGCAGTAAGCCAAGTAATGCTGCCAATCTCTGGAAACTGGAAAAGTCCCTTACTGCTCATTTTAGACTTCTGACCTCCAGAACTATAAAATAATGAATTTGTGTTGTTTTAAGCCACTAAGTTTGTAGTAATTTGTTACAGCAGCAATAATAAACTAATATGCCAATTAATCTGAAAATGTAGACAGCAGCAACAATTTTATTGAAAAATATTAACTACCAAAAATAGCTCAAGAAGAATTTTTTAGAAACCTAAAGATAACCATAACATTAAAGAAATCAAGTCATTCATCATTTCCTACCTATCAGAAAACACTAGACATTATCAAATCCTAAGGAGTAATTATACTTTATATGAAATGTTCCATAGCTACCCAATTAACTTTATAAAGTCGGAATAACCTTAATATAAAAATCAGACAATGACAGAAAAAGAAAAAAAAAAGGGCTAATAGCACTCATTTATACATTTAATCATTTACATAAAATAATGATCTCAAGTACATTAGTCCATTAAACAAATATTCTGCTCATGTTACATACAGAAGAGCAGTGAACAAAATAAAGGTCTGCTCCCTCTGAATTTATATTCTCTTGGGGGAGACAGATAATAAACAAATAAATATATAATATGTCAGATGATGATAAGTGCTATAGAGAAAAGAATGGAGAGTAAGGAAATAGAGTAATGGATGGGGGAAATCTGTTCTTTTATAAGCATAGCAGTGAAAGCCTTTCTAATAAGGTGATTTTTGAATACTTACATATAATCCAATAATCCCAAATAAAAGCCTGACAGATTCAACACCATCTTTTTTTTTTTAATATGGCATAAAATAGGGCTTATCCCAGAAATGTCAGGATAGCTTAATATTTAGAGTATTTTTTAATAATTTATGAAATCAAGCAATTTATGAAATTAAGGACAAAGACATTAATCTCAACAGATGCAGAAGAAGCATTTGATTAAATGCAATCATCATTCATTATTAAAACTATTAGCAAACTAGAAATAGAAAAAAAGCTTCTTTAATATAACATGTTAATTTAAAAATAAAGCAAACATTAATGTCAAAATAACAGAAACATTCCCTTTAAAATGAAAACAAGACATCGATCACCTCTTCTATAATCAGCACTGTACTGAAAATACTTACCAATGAAATAAGACAAGGAAAAAAAATAGTTATAGTAAAGAAGTACAATTGGTGTTATTTGTAGATTAGATAAACCTATATACAAAATTTAAAGTGAATTAACATTTACATAGCTACCAGTTGTAACTTACCAGATATCAAGACTCATATAACTATAGTAACAAAAATAGCATGACATTGGTGCAGGGAGGACCGAAAAGACAAATGAAATAGAACAGAAAACAGGGAAGCATGCATAAACTTATGTGAGAATTTGATATAGCAAGAGAACTGCCATTACAAATGGATGGTTGAACTAGTCAATAAATGGTACTGAAAAAAATTGACAATCCATAGAGGAAAAAATAAAGTTGTATTTCTTTCTTCATACTATATATAAAATATATTTCAAATTGAAGATCTCAATATGAAAACTAAGTATTTAACACATTGAGAAGAAAATATAGGAAAATGTCATTATGACATAAGAGTGGAAAAGGTTTCATAAGATTGAGGAAGAAAAAGTATAAAAGATAAAAATGATAAATATGATTTTCTTAAAGTTTACATTTCTGAACCAACAAGGAAACCATCAGCAAGTTAAAATCAAGCCACAAAGTGGAAGCCGGCTGTGGTACAGAAGAAGGAGTAAGATCTAGTGCTGCCTACTAGTGAAAGTGGGTCTTTTAAAGACATAAAACATGCTATGGTACAGGTTTATAACTGCCCACTAGAAATATCTTATAGAAAGCTGAATTATTATTACATAAGTGATCATAACAAAATGATATAATTTCTATGAATTTGCATGCACATTGGTAAAACTCCTGAGAGGGCTTTCCAAGGTGTTCCCCTCCCACAGCAGTATCCTTGTTTTGGGACATAGTTATTAAAGTTTTGTTCTGGGACTAAGAGGAACAAATATGGGAACACTCACGCATGTTGTGGTCTTGAGGTTCTTCTCTACCATTTTATCATTTTCTCTCAAATAATCCACATTCCACAGAGATCTTTGGAATTTACTTTTTGATCTGCAATGGGACAAAAAGACTGGCTTCCAATATCTACAAAAACACCTGCAAAAATAAGAAAAAAAGGTTAATTTTAAAAAGATGGACAAAGGATGAGATCAGGAATTCACAGAGGAGGAAACTCAAACGACCATTAAAAATGTGGAAATATGTTTCCTGAGATTAAGAATTCCTCATATCAGTGAGGTCATATGATACATGTCTTTCTCTGTTTGACTTATTTCGCTCAGCATAATACCCTCCAGTTCCATCCACGTCGTTGCAAATGGCAAGATTTCATTCCTTTTGATGGCTGCATAATATTCCATTGTGTATATATATATATATATATATATATATATATATATATATATATATATATATATATATACCACATCTTCTTTATCCATTCATCTGTTGATGGACATCTTGGCTATTTCCACAGTTTGGCTATTGTGGACATTGCTGCTATAAACATCGGGGTGCAGTACCCTTTTGGATCCCTACTTTTGTATCTTTGGGGTAAATACCCAGTAGTGCAATTGCTGGATCGTATGGTAGCTCTATTTTCAACTTTTTGAGGAACCTCCATACTGTTTTCCAGAGTGGCTGCACCAGCTTGCATTCCCCCCAACAGTGTAGGAGGGTTCCCCTTTCTCCGCATCCCCGCCAACATCTGTCATTTCCTGACTTGTTAATTTTAGCTTAATCTCAGGAAACAAACTGAGGGTTGCTGGAGTGGGGGGTGGGGTGGGAGGGATGGGGTGACTGGGTGATAGATACTGGGAAGGGTATGTGCTCTGGTAAGCGCTGTGAATTGTGCAAGACTGTTGAATCTCAGATCTGTACCTCTGAAACAAATAATGCAATATATGTTATGAAAAAAAAAAAGAAGAAGAAGATAGCAGGAGGGGGAGAATGAAGGGGGGGAATTGGAGGGGTAGACGAACCATGAGAGATGATGGACTCTGAAAAACAAACTGGGAGTTCTAGAGGGGAGGGGGGTGGGAGGATGGGTTAGCCTGGTGATGGGTATTGAGGAGGGCACGTTCTGCATGGAGCACTGGGTGTTATGCACAAACAATGAATCATGGAACACTACCTCTAAAACTAATGATGTAATGTATGGGGATTAACATAACAATAAAAAATAAATAAATAAAGAGAATACCAGACAAACAAACAAAGAAAAAAATGTGGAAATATGGTCAATCTAATAGAGAACTGCAAATTATAATAACAATGGAATGCCATTTTACCTCTACTAGACTACAAAAGAGAATGTCAATATCCAACTGTTTGAGAGGATAGGAAAAAATGAGAGCTGACATAACCTGCTCTCGGAAGAGAGAGTAATTTGTCAATACCTTAAAAAGTTGATGATGTTTATACCTTGTGAACATGAAATACTACGCATAAGAATAAGCCCTAGAGGAGCTCTTGCATGTGGGCATAAGGACATCTTTACACTTGTTTTTAAGAATAAAAAGAATGGAAACATTGCAAATGTCAATCAATATAGGAATGGAAAAATTAATTGTAGTATATTTATAAAAAGCACAAACTAGATTTACACATATCAACAAGGCTGAATCTCAGAAATATAAATGTCAGGGGGAAAAAAGCAAGATTCGATCGACGTCAACTATACTATGCTGCCATTTATGTAACTCTCAAAAAGAACACAAAACACTATGGTAAACCATACATGATATACCCTAAAAGTAGAAAATATATAGAAGGAAAAAATACACATCAACTTCAGGATATTAGGTACCTCTGGGAATAGAGGGATGGGAATGGAATGAGAGAGAGCTTCTACTCTAACTGTAATATTTTGTACTTTGTTTCTTTAAAAAAAATTCAGGAGGGGGTACTCTGAGTTAATTATGGAACAAGAAAAAAGTAGTTGCTAAAATAAAACCAGAGATATTGCCTCCCCTCTTACCTCATTAGTTTGAAGTTTGGGTTTACAGAAGTAAGCTATTTTTATATCCCTTTAGTCTAGATCACAATAACATGTCACTAATTTTCACCTTTACCCAGAAAGGAATCCAAACTCAATAGGGACAAATCCCTTTTGCAGCCCTCCCAGAAACCCACTGTAACTTACACAGGCTTGCCCTGAGGAGGGCATCATTTTCAGGGTGGAAGCTGCAGAAGAACTAAGGTATCCAGCTTGGGGAGTTGCTAAGGAAAATCCTGGAGGAGGGGCTGCCATTGCCTGTCTCAGAGGATACCTCCTTATTCATAACCTGAACAATAGTGCCTTTCTATTAGGATGGCGGGCATACTCTGGCTCCTTAAGTCAGGGCTTGTTGTGGCCATGAATAAGACTACAGAGAGCTCCCAGCCACCCTGCTGGAGCCTGGGACAATGTAAATCATTTATCTTCTTGGAAACCATTTTCTTATCTGTAAAACAATGATATTCACACCTGCTCTCAGCTCTGCCCATTCAAGTCATTATGATGATGAGGCAAACATGAAAAAACTTCATAAATTGTACAATATTCATCTTTGTTCCTTTTAGTATTCAACTATTGGTTGCTATTAGCAAAATTTAAATGACATCAAGAACACAGAAGCCGTGAAGGAGATCATGCTTGATAAATGAAAGTCTGAAGTAACAGATTTATTTTATAAGAAAATGGAGAAAGGGGCACTTGGGTGACACAGTCCGTTAAGCATCCAAATCTTAGTTTCATCTCAGGTCGTGATCTCAGGGACCTGAGACTGAGCCCCTAGCGGGCTCTGCACTCACCGTGGAGTCTGCTTAGGACTGTCTCTCCCTCTGCTACTCCTCCCTCCCACTCCCTCTATTGATTGACATAAATCAATCAATTAAAAAAAAAGAAAATTGAGAAGACATTCACTTCAGAAACAAATGTCATTGAAATCTTTTCTCAAAGCTCATCTCACCTGTAACTATAGTTTTTGAAATAGGAATAGTGACA